GGTCCCCAACCTTGGGCCTCCAGATGTGTTTGGACTACAACTCCCAGAAGCCTTCACCACCACATCTGCAGGCCAGGATTTCTGGGAGTTGAAGTCTAAGAATATCTGGAGGCCCAAGGTTGGGGACCACCGGTCTAGAGAACATGGTAGCTGCTGTGCCAATGCGTTTATCCAGCTCGACATCTAAGGAGAGTATCAGAGATTGTTGAGCCAAGGTACACAAAATCATGAACCTCCAATTCTTGCGTGGAGATGGTAATAGAGGGAGGTGAGTCCACGCCCTGGCCCATGACTTGTGTTTTCTTCAGGCTGATTGTTAGTCTTGGCAGGCCTTGCTAAAACGATTCATGTGTTGCTGGAGATCTTCAGCAGAGTGGGCAACAATGACTGCATCATTGGCGAAGAGGAAGTCCCACATGCATTTCAGTTGAACGTTTGTCTTCGCTCTCAATCTAGAGAGATTAAAGAGTTTTCCATCTGATCTAATCTGGAGATAGAAATCTTCTGTTGCAGTTCCAAAGGTGTGCTTCAGCATGACAGCAAAAAAACTCCCAAACAGGTTTGGCACGAGGACTGTTATATCATCTTAAATAAAAAGCTCTTTGCCGAAGACTATGCTTTTAATGTATCCTTGAAGGATTTCACTGCTGGGATCCGATGTTTGCTGTAGGTTTTTTGGGCTGTTTGGCCGTGCTCTGGGAGTTCTAGCTCCTGTCCTCTGAAGTTGCCAGCCAGAGACTGGTGAAATGATAGGAACAAAAACGTCCAGAACACGGCCAAACAGTGCAAAAAACCTACAACAACCATTATGCTTTTAACTTCAGGCCAGTGATGAGAGTCTTGTGACTCATCAGGATGTCAGCAGTGAATAACATAAAAAACCTACATTTTATATCATGGAATATGCTAAGCACTTCTAAGTAGGAAGGTGCAGAAGCATTCTTTATAGTATTTTGGACCTACTGCATTAGCAATAAAGGCCCAGTTTGTTGTAATTTGACAGGCCCTCCCTCTCCAAAAACCCCATTCAATAATAGATGTAGAACTTTGTGGAAATTTCTCATTTTTAAAGTATTAGTATCATATACCTAAGCTTTCTGAATTTAAAATATGTAATCAATTATTCAAATACACAATGTAATCTTGTAGTAGAGGAATTGAAATTTATAGATAGAACTTGGGGGATTATCTTCAGTTTCATGATTGCTTCTGCACAATCCTCTGGAAAGTTATTTTAAAGCTGCTCTTGAGGATAGACAGATGTTCATATTCCTTAGAGCAACTCTACTTAATCATGTTTTAGCCAAGACTCAAAGTCACTAACTTCCAGTTGATGGTGAAAAATAGTGTCAAAATAACAAACAGCCTTTCATTAAAGAAAATGCTACTTGCCAAAAACATTAAAAATCAACTTAAAATGTGAATTTTAATATTATTTTGAAAAATGAATAATTACAAATTTTAATATTTATAATTTTAAAAAGCAAATTAAAATTATAAACTGCAACCAGTGTTAGCCATCATTTTTTCACAAAATGTTCACTCATCCTAAAATTTTATTTAAGACCCTTTACTCCTACTTTTAATCTATCAATTGTTTGAGAAACCTCTAACAAGGTATGTATGTTTGTAAATAAATGCCTTATGGAAATCAGACACAGTATTCAGTTTATTCTTCAGAAATATTGAAGAGGTAGCTGCGTTAAATCTCTGCTTTTTTAAGTATCAGTGGACTTGTCGACAAAAGGTCATACAGTATTATAAAATAGTATAACAGTATTAAAGGGGGCACATTTTTTCATTTAGTTTTACCTATAATGTTTTAGAAAGCAAGTGATATTTTAATGATAGATTACTTAATATTAAATGTGTTGAAATAAATCTTACATATTTTCAAATGAAATTCAGTTCCTCATCAGACTGCCCTATAAACAGTAGAAAAATAATCTGTTTTTTGGGTAAGAAATGTATTACAAACATATGTACTATTTACAGTGTTCTAGGAGATGACCTTCATATATCTCACCAGATGTTTACCAAGATACCTCTTCTAATTTCACGTATACTTTTTTCAGTTTTGAAATGTTAGTATCGAATAAACAAATCAGAGAACTAGACTGTTTTCAGTGTGAAATCTAATCAACTTTAGCTGAATATTAATAGCAAAACAGGATGTTTGTACAATTAGCAGTCATTGCTCTTATTAATATAATTATTCCTTCAATCCTAATATTTATTAGGGATGGGTTTTGATACATATAATCTGCCAACAAGTTATTAGGTATCACCTAAAGGGGCCTTTAGCCCATTAAGATGTCACAGATCTTTAAAACAGTCTTGTGTCATCTTATTTTTATATACTCTGCTTTCTGTTTCAAGTGCTCAACACGGCAGTTGGGTTGCTCATAAACCTTCTGTTCAGGCACTAGTCAACCCAAATCTACTTCAATAAAGGATGTATGTGATACAATTCCCAGGTTGAAATGGATGGCTAACTTCAGACCTCTCTGAGGGCAGAAGCTAACATGTAAGCTGATATACCTCCATTATCTCCTGCAGAAAGCCCCAAAACTGTCTGAGCAGTTTTGAGATAATGCAAGAGGTTATGAGATAGGGGAATCGGTTTCTTTCTAGTTCCTCTGATATAAGCAATTCTGCCAGCAAAAATGCCTAGGATTTCACCATTAATTTATTAATTCATGAATTCTGGCTGATGGGCAATAATCCTTCAATGAATGGAAGAGCCACATTACCTGCTTTAGTTACAAATGGAATGTGAAGGAGGCAAACGAAAAGGGAAACGGAAACAGAAGAAGCCATCTTATCAATTGCTAAAAGACTAATGCTCAGAAAAGATGGTAAGATGGGATGATAATGTAGACAATGAGGTTAAGATATAGTTAAAGAAAATAAGCATGTATTAAGGCAAAATACTCATGATGACCCCTTCATGGATTGCTGCCTTGTGGCAAAGGGGCTAGAGTAATTCATGAAAAGCTATGGGCTATGCCATGCAGGGACACCCAAGATGGACAGGTCATGGTGGAGAGTTCTGACTAAAAGCGATCCACCTGGAACAGGAACTGGCAAGCCACTCCAGTGTCTTTGCCAAGAAAACCCCATGAACAGAAACAAAAGGCTAAAAGATAGGATGCTGGAAGATGAGCCCCTCAGGTTGGAAGGCATCCAACATGCTACTGAGGAAGAGCAGAGGGCAAGTACAAATAGTTCCAGAGCTAATGAAGTGGTTGGGCCATCTATACGTGGGACAGGAAGCATGGACGTGCTTGGAAGTGAGAGGAAAGTCCGATGCTGCAAAGAAAAATACTGCATAGGAACCTGAAATGTAAGATCTATGAATCTTGGTAAGGTGGATGTGGTCAAACAGGAGATGGCAAGAATAAACCTTGACATCCTAGTCGTCAGTGAACTAAAATGGACAGGAATGGGCGAATTCAATTCAGATGATTATCATACCTACTATTGTGTGCAAGAATCCTGTAGAAGAAATTGAGTAGCTCTCATAGTCAACAAAAGAGTGGGAAAAGCTGTA